ACGCCTGGCCTCCACCTGGCTTCTGACGTGCAATCTCTTTCATTCTCCCTCAGGGTTGGAGCCCTTCTTGGAGTCCTCATCCCATCAGCTGCCTATATCTTTTTGATCAAGACATACACATAAGGATAATACACGAGCCTCCCGAGGGTTCTGACAGGGGAAAGAAGAAACTTGGGTTGGGACTGAAGTCTGAGCAATTCTGTGGAGAAGAAGTTAAAGATTACTTTTTTTTTTCCATTTAAAATTTTCTCATGTCCTTTTGATTGCACACCTTTGTGTAATTAGGAAATCAGAAATTAGGGTTATTCTGGAACTCAGCCCACATCAACCCCTCTAGAATTTTTTTCTCACGACCATTATGCCAGTACCTTAAATGTGTCCAAAACCTGTCTATTTGCCATTCCCCAAGCATACTTAAGAAAACTGTGGCATGTTTCTCTCCTTAACTTTTGGCCATTCCTCTTCCTCTGCTCTCACATATCCCGTAGTGAGACCTTAACTATCTCTGAAGCTTTCTTGTAATATGTTAGAGGGTCTCCACGAACATGCCATTTTTGTTGTTTAGACCAGCGTTTTTCAAATGTGCACACAAATCACCTATGGAATCATGGTCAAGTGCACATTATGATTCTGGAGGTCCTGTATAGTGCCCAACAATCTAATTTTGTATCAGTCCCAGCTGATGTTGATGCTATGTGTCCTTGTGCCAATTCCATGACTTACCTAAATTGATCCTATATCACAGTTCTCTCTATCCCATTTCTCCAACTATGTCTCGAGCTAGTTGATGGTGGCATCAGTAAATATATACATGTTTATATCCTCCCAAATGCCTGGCACATCTCGCATATTGCTGGTGCCCAGTAGCTATCTGGAATTTGCAACAAATGCTCAAACATTCTATTCTGTATCAGAGTGCACTTATGGACAGAACTTGTCTTCTCCCTTACCTCTCACCTCAACCCCGGACCCCATCTGCCACTAGAAGGAATCTCCTTCATATTAAAATGTTAATGATTTGAAGTGTTACCCCTATCAGAGTATTAAAGAAAAAAAGATAACCTGAGAGGCCAGTATTCACACATAGGATACAGCACAGTCTTTGCAATGCTTCTCTTGTTCTGCTAGGTAATTAATTTCATAGCATCTTGCTGAGAGGCATAGCTCTCCTGGGTACAGCTGAGCCAAGGGAGATGTGCTCCTGCCACAGAGTGCTATTTAGAAGTCTCGTAGACTAAAAATTCTTTACTATATGGCTAGCAGAATTATATGGAGATTTAGAATCCTTTAGCTGCCTTGGCTTCTGAGTAACCCCTCACCCCATCTGGTAACCTGGAGGTGGTATTACTTTGCGGTACAGCTTCACAATTTCCTGCTTGTCCTGTAACTTCAGCGGGCATGCTGATTTTAATCATCTTGTGTTGTACATAGCATCACATGATGTGTTCAGTCTTCGAAAAGGAAAACAAAAATCCTTCCTTATGCATCTTGGTGGAATTGCCGTCTCTGTCGTCCTGTGCTGCTCATGAAGCTTATGCTGTGTTCTGCTGTCGTCGCTGCTTTTGAGACCTTATAGTCATTGCACAACCAGCTGTCTATCCATGGCTCTATGTCAGTTCATTCTGATATTGCTGGGAAGAGAGGGATGAATCAGTTCACTTTCCATAGAAGGTCACTGATTTTAATTTTCTTTCTTTTTTTTATTATTATACTTTAAGTTCTGGGGTACATGCGCAGAACATGCAGGTTTGTTACATAGGTGTGCTATGGTGGATTGCTGCATCCATCATCCTGTCCTCTACATTAGGTATTTCTCCTAATGCTACCCCTCCCCTTGCCCCCCACACCCTGCTGTCCCTCTCCTAGTCCCCCACCCCCCAACAGACCCCAGTGTATGATGTTCCCCTCCCTGTGTCCACTTGTTCTCATTGTTCAACACCCACTTATGAGTGAGAACATGCAGTGCTTGGTTTTCTGTTCTTGTGTCAGTTTGCTGAGAATTTAATTTTCTTTATCATCTGAACTATGGCTTGCTGGAGAGCTCTCTCTGGCACACCGGGGACCTCTTTCATCCAACTGTCTTTCTGACCACTCAGCTCTCCAGTCTGTGCTCCTCTCTGTGGTACATGGCTCTATTACAGTCTAAACATACAAAGAAACTGAACTCTCATGATGGGATTCTGGGACCTTTAACACTTAGGCAGTAAAGACATATTTGAACAGAGGAGTAAGCTCTTCAGCTTACTCCATGTAGCCAGGTGTTCACTGCACCTATGTCTAAGTTGCACCCTGACCAGATGAGGCCATCTGATAGAATAAATCATAACTTTGGGAGCCACTTTGTCAGAGTAACCTTATGTAGAAACATTTCCAAATATAGTTTTTTTCTCTGGTTACTTAGAGCTTGTCACCTGGAGCCACAGACCTTTTAGAACTACATGTGATATAGCATGTAGGGCAGTTTGTAAATAGACTATTACAAAGTGAGACAGAGAGGCCTTCGGTGCACTTTTCTTTACAGATTCCTTGCCCATCATCTCAATCCTCCTGTGTCAACCCTTAGTTTTGATTCTGGCTACTTTAGTAATTATTTGCCTTCATACAAAACACATGCATCTTTGCATTTGTGGATGGGTGGATCAATATTATACCTCATTCACTTTTGTGGGGTAACATCAGGCTGTCACTTGGAGGCATTTACAATGACCTGTCTTTAAAGAGGATATGTTCAGGTTGTGGCCAAAGGTTCATCTCAAACCCTAGAAATTGTAGGTGGAGACTATTTCACAGGTTGTTTGAGAGAGGCCACCCTGGGGTAACTATTAAAAGTCTGGAGCAATAGCTATCATGTAGGCTGTTTCAGAAATTAACTTAATGTAAAAATAGAGGTCACCCGACTTGCTGAAGTATAAGGACAGGTAGCATATGGGCCCAAATTTGGCTGCAATTTCCCTTCAAAGTTAATGAGTGTTGCAGGTGCTTATCTAATCATGGCATTTAAACCAGTATGTTTTGCACATTCAGGGCTTTGTAATGAGATGCAATGTTTATTTTCTGTACTCTTCCCCACAGACTACAAAAATACCCTTTGCTCAACCCTGTCTAATCATTGCAAGTGTCAACAGTCAAAGCTAATGACAGGAGGTAGGTTTATGGGGCAGTAATCCAGCCTACTTGACATAAAAGATCCATTCCCAGAAAAGAGGTTTGAGCAATCATCTGAACTTCAGTCTAACGAAAGGAGCTTTGGTGGCTTGGTGATTTTAAAATCATGATTCTTTGATCAGGTTGGTAGTTAATGTTTGAATGTAGATAGGTTGGGGAAGGTTGCAGTTGATGGCTACTTAATAAAATGTATAGAACATGAGTCTTAGCTTTATCTCTTTCAAGATTAAGCGTAAACCTCCTGTGTGTGTCCCTGTCCCTACCAAAACAATCAATGGTCACTCCTTAAATTAAGCTTTATATATTAAACATTTACCAAATATCTTCTAAGTTTCAGGCATTGGGTTACACCTTTGAGAGTCAAAGATAAAGAAATATGGAATGGATCTTAACACTTCTCTATCGGATTCTGAATTCTTGCATCATAGTTGGCCTTAAGCATGATTCACATGCCTGGCTACTCAATGCAGGCTATTGCAGAGCTAGCTGCATAAGAATTATCTTGAGAACTTGTTAAATATAGAGATTTGGGGGCCACAATCCCAGATATTCAGGTGTAACATACCTGGAAAGAAATACAGGCATCGGTATGATTTTTTAAAAAAGGTTCAGTGGTACTTTTAAAAAGTGTATTTATTTGTATGTTTGTTTCATCTCCTTGGTCAGCTTGAACTATCCAAGGTCATAAAAGTTGAACTAAATTATCCTTCTAATATTATAGTTTTGTTCAATTTCTTTATTTTTTAAATAGCTTTTGCTTCACGTATATTTTTTATTTTTAATTTTTACAATTTTCAAGTATATAATATGCTATTATTAAATATAGATACCATGACATACAATAGATACCTTGAACTTACTCTTTCTGTCTAGATAAAAATTTATATCCTTTGACTAACATCTCCCCAACCCCATCCCCACTTTCCTGAGCCTTTGGTAACCATCATTTTACTCTCTTACTTCTGTGACCTTTTTTTTTAGATTCCACATGTAAGTGAGAACATATGGTATTAGTCTTTCTGTGCCTAGCTTATTTAACTTAACATAATGTCCTTCAGGCTCACCCATGTTGTTGTAAGTGACAGGATTTTCTTAATTTAAAAAGTTGAATAGCATTCCATTGTGCATTTTGATCACATTTCGCTATCTGTTCATCTGCTGATAGACACTTAGGTTGATTCCATATCTTGGTATAATGTGCAAGCTTTTGTTAAATTAACCGTGAGTGCAAGGTAGAATTCTTTGGGTGGTTTTTTTTTTGTTTGTTTTTTGGTTTTTCTTTTTGAGACAAAGTCTTACTCTGTCACCCAGGGTGGAGTACAGTGGCACAATCTTGGCTCACTGCAACCTCTGCCTCCCAGGTTCAAGCAATTCTCCTGCCTCAGCCTCCCGAGTAGCTGGAACTACAGGCATGTGCCACCATGCCTGGCTACTTTTTTTTTTTGAGATGGAGCACTGTTATATTGCCCAGGCTGGAATACAGTGGCACAATCTCAGCTCCCTGGAATCTCTGCCTCCTGGGTTCCTGCCTCAGCCTCCTGAGTTGCTGGGACTACAGGTGTCTTCCACCATGCCCAGCTAATTCTTTTTATATTTTTAATAGAGATGGGGTTTCACCATGTTGACCAGGCTTGTCTGGAGCTCCTGGCCTCAAATGATCCACTCTCCTTGGCCTCCTAAAGTGCTGAGATTACAGGTGTTAGTCACCATGCCCAGCCTCTTTGGACAGCATTTTAAAACAGCTGATACAAGATCTCCACTCCATAGCAATTAAATCAGAAACTCTAGACATTGGATCCTGGGCATTGACATGAAAAAAAAAAAAAAAACAAAAAAACATTCTCCAAAGCATGGTGATGGGTCTTTCATGCTAATATGTGAAATGTGCCTCCCTCAAACCTTGTTATGTCAAACAAAATTCTCCCCTATGTGAGTCCAGTGTTGAGACTCCTTGGAGTAAGTGTTTGCTGTTGATGAGGCAAAGCAAGGGAGATGCTGTCTTCTGGGACCCAGCGTGTGCTTTTTGACAATTTCTTCCATTTGTGTGGTTATTTCCAATTTTCAGATTCTTTTATGTGTCTACATAAAATCTTGCAAGCCCCTGGAAGAGACTTCAGAGACTGACTACACCAGGAGTCAAGAACCATTTTCTGTAAAGGGCTGGATAGTAAATAGTTTAGGCTTTGTAGGTCATGTGTCATAACTACCTGGCAGCCATAGTGTGAGAGCAGCCACAGACAATATGTAAATGAATAGGTGTGGTGTGTTCCAGGAAACTTATTTACGAAACAGATAGTGAGCTGGACTTTTTATCCCTGGCTGCTGTTACTTGCTAACCCACAGTCTACACCAGCACTCTGATCTCATCCGTGAGGAAACTTCGGTCCAATGGGTGATGTGATTTGACTCAGATCTCATGGCTAGGAAAGGACAGACATGGGCCTGAAGTTCAGGTATTATGACTTAAAACAAATAAACAAACAACCTCTACTCCCCTACATCTACAATTGGTGTTCTTAAAAATTAAAACATCAAAAAGAGGGTCTTCTCGCCCCTACCTTTTGTGTTTCCCTGGCTTTATGGTGGTATGATGGGCTGTGTACATGTGACCACTCTCCAGATTGTAAGCTCTTCCATAGTAGAGTCTGGGCTTTCTTCAGTGTCACATTCCCACCAGTCTGGGGCAAAGCAGTGCCTGTACCTGTTAGTGTGCTGAATATATTGCAGCCTGAGCATGTGGAGCTCAGTGTCGTGTGTTTATTTCAAGACAGCAGGGCTGACTGGCTCATCGATTTCCAGAAGTATCTTTTGTTAATATCTAGCCTACTTGCTTGTGTTCTTTATAACTTCAAATAATGTTTATGTGATGACAGAGAAAGTCTGGGGATTGCAGCAGTGGGGTAAAGCAAAGAGTAGATGTCTAATTACTTTAAAAAAGTTGACCTTCAAGTTTGGCCCCCAAAAAACTGTAAGAAATCAAGTTTGAACAGGATTCTTTGCAATATTATTTTCTTTTCACTTTTCTTCTGTGCAGGCTTGCAGGACAGTATATATGCAATATGTTACTCTTGTCTGTCACATACAGAAATCTGCCCCACCCCCATCCCCTCTTCTGTGCAGCCTCTCCCGTTTGACCTTGAGAAGTACTGTTTACAGTTCAGTGAAACTCCGTCTCTCCCTTCTTGCTTCAAGCTCAGCAAATGAACAAGAAGAACCTGCAGAACCTGTTCAGCAATTTCAGACTATAAACAAGCAATCCACAGGGAATAAGGGGTAGATATTACCTTATGACTGCAATTAAAGTCTTCTTTCCCAAGGTTGTCAACACTCTAGGTTGAGCAGTGGCCTGAGAAAGTTGCTCGTTTCCCAGGCAGGCTTGCTGAATGCAAGGTGCAATGGGCTATAATCTAATGTGCCTTGCTTTATCAGAACACACATTTCTCTCCCTCTCTGTCTCTCTTTCTCTCTCTCTCTCACACACACATACACGCATCTTCCATATTCACATATAAACACACACAGTTGCTATTGTCTCATTATGGATATAGTGGAAGGTGGAGTATTATGATCTTACAAGGGAAAAAAGCTTTTAAAGGGCAATTCAGGCCAGGTGCATTGGCTCAATCCTGTAATCCCAGCACTTTGGGAGGCTGAGGCAGGCAGATCATGAGGTCCGGGGATCGAGACAATCTGGCTAACACAGTGAAACCCTGTCTCTACTAAAAATACAAAAAAGTAGCCAGGTGTCGTGGCACATGCCTGTATTCCCAGCTACTCAGGAGGCTGAGGCAAGAGAATCGCGTGAACCCAGGAGGCAGAAGTTGCAGTGAGCCGAGATCATGCCACTGCACTCCAGCCTGGGTGACATAGTGAGACTCTGTCTAAAAAAAAGAAAAAAAACCCCAACAACTTAGGTCTTGAGGGATAGATTTGGATGGCAGAGTGAAAGGTGAAGATGATGCCAAGTTTCAAGTCTGAAGAACAGAAGCAGGGATGAAGTGTACCATCTGGCTGGGGTAGTGCCTTTTCCTGGGGCATGGTAATGCCTTAGTTGCAGAGTAAGGTGGAAGTGCTTGTGAGAAACTGAATTTTCTAACAGTAAATTTTGTAAGCTTCCATTCAAGATCTAGCTCTGCTTTACTCTATCAGTAATGTGAGAAAAGTAGCTTAATTTCCCTGAAACTCTGGTTCCTCTTCTGTAAAATGGGGTAATAAAATTGTCCCTCTCATAGGTTATTTTGAAGATTAAATAAGACAATCCATGTTAATGTGCAATGCTTGGCATATAGTAAGCATTCAATAAGTAAGAAGTATTAAATTATGGTAGATTCTGAATGTCAAAGGAAATTATAATTTTCCCAATGCATTAGCATACATCTTTTATAAGTATTTGCATGTCACATAAAATTCTCTTCTCAGCCTACCACTTTTTGTCTTGCCTGTCACTGCTTCAAGCAATGTTGTCCACATCCTGAAGAACTGCTCCTTGAGCCCACAGGAGGACACTCTGAGACCTGGCTCACCAGACTACATAGTCTGAGTGAGCACTTGAAAATTCTAATCTGAGTGATATGGATGACATGTTCTCTGTGCCTTGGAATATCTAGTTTCTTATCTATAATATAATCTTTGAAGCTAGTACAAGGAGAGAATCAATATCACCTGACCACCATCTTTCACCCCTTGAAAGGCATAAAATTCTAAGTAAGAATACTACATATTTTGCTATGTATTTTACTGCATGCATGCTAAGCCTCTACTAAAAATTTTTTAATGAAAAGAACAATAAATTAGAATATAAGCATTTAAAGGAACCCATAAGATGTTCCCTTAAAGAAAGGATTTAAAACCTCAGGCATGGTGGCTTATGCCTTTGGGATCCCAGCACTTTGGGAGGCCAAGGTGGGCAGATCACGAAGTCAGGAGATGGAGGTCATCCTGGCCAACATGGTGAAAACCCGCCACTACTAAAAATACAAAAATTAGCTGGGCTTGGTGGCATGTGTCTGTAATCCCAGATGCTTGGGAGGCTGAGGCAGGAGAATCACTTGAACTAGGGAGTTGGAGGTTGCAGTGAGCCGAGATCGTGACACTGC